AGAGAGAAATCTCCATTTACTAAACCAGTCTTTCCCAACTAAACAGTCACTTGGTGTGTTGGGATTGCAATCCCCCAATTTTTCAGCGACAGCACTGGATGGTGCTTCCTATTTCATCCAGAGGACATCAGGTCACAAAATGTGCTAATAACAGGTAATAATAACAGGGCTGGACAGTGTATCTGGACAAAGCCTGTTATTTCTATAGCCACTTGGGCTTGACAACCTGCCCTTTCTCTGTACATTGGCAAGAAATCCCATTCAAGCTGCATAGTTCTTTCCTTAGTACCACACAATCCAAGATCTTAAAAGAAAAGAAGAAGAAAAATGTTAAGTTCTCCATGGCCAAGTGGAAATTCATATTAATTCAATAACTGTTCTCTTTCTAAGGCTGCAGAGGGCCATCATTTTATTTTAGTTTTAGCAAGATTTGTTTTCCTATAAGCAAATGCCAGAGTTAGAATTCACCCCTTCTCACAGGAGATCCTGTTACTTAGTGGTGGTATTAAGAAACTGGACCAAAGGGCCATGGAATGCAGCCGTCTGCATGCTTCCCTGAAACCACTGGCTCTTCCACTCTTCAAATACAAATATTTTTGTATTTGAAAACCTCCCATGCAAAGTACAGCCACAGACAGCAGAATGGGGGAACCAAAAATACAAAGCCAAGCCTTAACACATGTCAGAGCCTCTCAGGCAAAAGCATGCAGTGGTGGGGAGGGAAAATACACAACCCTCTTCCCCACACTCAGTAACTTTGTTATTCAGCTGTCTTTCCCTCAATTGTCCTTCTGAAGGAAGGTTATTGCTCGATAAGCCCATGGCCATGAGAGTAAAATGTGTACTAAAGAGGAATAAAATGCTAGATGAATACATGTGCATGGGTTAATTTTCAGTTCCACCTATCACTCATCGATTGATTCATTGAGGGAAGTTTTAGAATAAGACCCAGGACGATTTCTATGAGACTAATTGTTTATACATAATTGCTTACATTTATTTGTTTATAAGGATGTGGTCATAGTGGATTCCTGGTAAAATATTTGTAGCATTTATCAACTTGTATTTGCTTTCCTGTGATTGTTTCCAATTCTGCATGTGTATTTTTCTGTCTTTTTTGTGTTTTTGTTTGCAGAATCTCCTTTCTTTTTCTGATGTTCGTAAATGTTTGTTCTTTTGTAATAAATAACTTCTCTGCAGTAAAAAAAAAATGTTAACATCAAAATAACTTGTCATTTTGAGATCATCCTAAAACCAAAAAACAAAATACAATATCAAGAAGCAACTAAAACAAAAAAGCAAATAGTTAACACCAATTTACACATCTCCAGCATATTTACATCCCACAGTATCAGAATATTTATAAAAAATGAAATAATCCATATTCTTATTTCTGGATAAACAATTGAATTAACAATTGAATGGGATTGCAAATGTATTAACAGCAGCAAGTAATTTATTCATTAGTATTAATAAATACAGGCCCTTCTGTGATAACAAGAGTAATTAGCTTTTGGTTTTCTTTTCTTTTTTAAAATTCTACTTTCAGAATTTACTTTAAATTCTAAGAAGACATTGATATCTCAAAGCCCAAGTAAGATGCAAATCTCTAATAGGATCGCAATGTATGCCACTGAAATGGAGGGAAATGTATATTCTAAGCTGCTTTTTGAGACAATGGAGGGAAATGTATATTCTAAGCTGCTTTTTGAGACTGTGACAGAAGTGTTGCCCAAAGTCAGCAATGCTGTCTTTGTACTGCGTATCACATAAGCCACCTGGAGTCAGTGAGATGGGTAGCGCAGAAGTGTGCTGAATAAATAAATAAATAAATAAATATCTTTGGATCTGGACCATTAACACTTCTTACTCTGACATAGCCATCTATTTGTACAAAATAGTCATGAAAGCCATTGTTGTTGCCTGCAGCCAAAGTTTAAGAACTATGCAAACAGTCATGCTTTTCTTCCCCCATTACTAGTGGGTGTCTTCTGGAGGTCAAATTTTCTGGGCTGTTAAATATTCATTCTCTGTTTGGCAACATCTCCCCCTTCTGGATATAAAATATATACTATTATGCTATATGCTATTAAAATCCATCAATGGTTAAGTAATATCAGGAAAGGGGAAATTTAGTAATCTCAGCAAGAAACTGAAGTTCCTTATGGAATTGTTATCACAGAATTAAACTCTAAAACTGAATTTTGCCATTTGCTGATAGTGGATAGCTCTTTAATCCATTCATTTCTCATAAGTAAAGGTATTAGAGTTTTATGAATGAAAGACTTCTGATTTACAAGAGATTATTTGATTTTGTAAAAATTATAGCATTTGCATGAATAAGTTTAAAGAGGACAAGGTTGACAAACACCACACAGTCACTACACATTCTCCTTGATCTTAATCAAAGGAGCTATGCTATGAATCACTGGAAAAATCAGTATCTTCACATCCGAGTTCTCCTGCTTGATACCAGTCATTCTAAGAAACAGTGGCACAAGTTACTTCTTGACCCATTGAAGCAGTATTTTGGTTATACAGTAAGCTTGTGGTATTTTGGGTATATGGGACCCATTTGCTCTCAATTAAGGAAATGTGAATAAATATAACTTTAAATCTCTGTTGATAAAGCAAAGCTTGAAGTTTTCTTCTGAGAAATAAACTTTGCTTGAACACTAGACACTATAAACTGGGACTATCACTTGGAATATATTTATCATGCTACATTTGTTAATGAATAACACATTTTCCACAATGAGTATTTCCTAGAAGTATATATAGAATTATAGGCTAAATTAACACTTAGAAACAAATACAATCTAACATGTTTCTGATTTGATTCCTTCAGATACAGGAAATTGGATGCAGTGATCTAAATTGCCCTTTCCAATTTTAATTTGAAATATTTTCTTTATTTAGTCCTGTGCATTGCTACTCTAATATATATCTCACTAGCTAAGTTCATGTACCCCATGTATTGATTTGCTTAAATATGTTTAGTTGAATAAGCCACAAATCATGCATCAAGTGTAAGCTATGATTAACAAACCACAAGTATGTCCGTTCCATATGTTTAGCCAAAATTGCACAATATACATAATGGTTTAGTATGCCACTGTGCTAATATAGCCTTTCCCAGTTTTGAAAGTTGCTTGTTTCAGCTCAGAACTTTGTATGCATCAGATCTTAGACAGTATTTATTGTTAATTGTAGAACTCTTGTTCCAAGATAAAAGTGGTCAAACTGCAGCCTTTAGGCTGCAAACTGTCTTTGAGTGGACTTTGTACAAGAGAAGACAACATTTATTTATGTTTATTACATTCCTATCTGCCTATCATTCAAAAATTCAGGACAGTATATACTGTATAATGTTTCCTCCTTCTGCTTTTTCCACAAGAATGACCCTATGAGGTAAGCTGAGCCTGAGAGAGATTGACTGGCCCAAAGTCATCAAGTGAGCTTTCAGGACTAAGGATGGATCTGAATCTCTTTGGGGTCCATCAACATAGGTAACTAGTACACCACACTGATTTAAGGGAAAGCCTTAATGTAATTGTAAGTCTTCCTGAACATCCGAAATAGTTTTGGAAAAATTTTAAGCCTCTGCAATGGTCTGTGTAATCATACTCTTCAGTATACCACAATGGCTTTCAAGCTGACAAAATCATTGCAAGCCTTCAAAATGGGGATGAACAGGTCCATAATTACAGCCTTATTCAATACAGTTATATCCCAACTTTATTACTCATGCTGAATGCCAAAACTTTTTATGGTTCTGTGTTGCCTTAGGCACTCCAGTTGTACACCTCTGAGTTATGGTGTTGCTTAGACTGAGGTGTCTTCCCTCTCCTCTGAAGACATGCCAGTACAAGTACATTATGCAATAATCACTCTGAATGAAGTGATGTTGGAACAGAGGGATATTCTGATACACAGATGTAATCAAATTGGCTTGCTGTGATTTACTCAAATGGAAAAAGATGCATTGAAATCAGAGACGTACATATCCAAAAGTTGGGTGAGTTGTCTGCCTTTTTGGGGGTCAGATATGGTCAGCTTCAGTCTCACCTTTCACCTTTATTACTCTGCCCAAGAATTTGGCTGGGCTTACTAGCAAAAAAAATCCAGACAGTACACAAGGGCCAAGCAGACAGATACCATGGTCAAGACATCAGAGGGTGAAATTGAATTTAGGGTCACAAATTGAAGCTCCATTGCCTGGATGGCAAGGTATGAAATTACACTCCTTCCTCAGTATGATGAGCCAGGAATCACATGGCACTTCGTAAGTTAAGAAGAGACTCTTGGCCTGCAGTCATAAGCAGAACACTTGATCCAGTAATATAAATCCTGTTGGGTTCAATCTGAATGGAGCTTATTTCTGAGAAAACTTCTTACAGGAGACTTTAGACTGCAACCCAATGTAGTTGTTCTACCAAGTCTTTGGAACTTGCTTCTGAGTTATTATTAGACTACAACTTTATACCTTATTTTATATGATAATTCTAAGTGAATCCAATAAATTCTTGGGAGAAGCCACAGCCCACAGCAGGACAAGTATTTCCCCGCTGGAAAGCTTCTGATTCAAGCGCAGACTCTCTAGTTAGAAAGATTATGAACCACTGGCCAAGGCAGTTGTAAATCATGGGAACTGTGGTATATCAATATTTGAAGGCCACAGATTTTCACTCTGAATCTAAGCCCATATAGCCAACTAAATAACAGCGGGCTACAAGTGCCAACAATATGTCATTACCGTGTCTGAGGGACTCGGGTCAGAGAGAATCTGCTCCAGAGAAAATGGGCATAAATATTGTGCCGTAAGCATCATTCCAGGAGAAAAACGATGCAGACATATGCCGATAGATGGCGCTGCCTCATACCATTTCCTAAAGCCCTGATGGGCGAATCCACTCAGGCAGGAGCGGGGGAAGAAATGGGAAGTTGAGCAGCTAAGTGTCTCCATGGTTCCGGTCCCCGTTTTCCCTTTCCGCTTCTCTGCAGTTCCGGCTGCTGCTGAGGACGTGGCTTTTGGCTCAGCGGCCTCTTCCTGTTCCGCGGCGGGCTGAGGCCTGCTACGGGTCGTCTTTTACCTGTTCGCTCACCTGGCCCTCGGTCCGGAGAGGATGAGGAGGCCCCGCGGCGGCGGAGGTGGCGGCGGCGGCGGCTGAAGAGGCCGGGCGTGAAAGCCGGCAATGGAAGAAAAGTTCAGCGGGAGCAGCAGCGAGGCCCTGGCCAGAGGCGGGCGGCTGGGGCCTGTGGATGTGCCCAGCGCCCGGTAACTGACCGTCCTGGGAGTGTTTAGGCGAGCGGGTCCAGGCGGAGCCTGCGAAGAGGGTTCTTATTTCTTTGATGGGACTAAAGGTCTTTTGGCAAGAGTTTCGCCTCCTGCAGCCTGGCTGAGGTGGAGGCATCGTCTTCTTTGTAGAGCAGCAGTCAAAGGCTTTCAGCCAGGTCTTTCTACGGAAGCCTCGGCGACAGAGTCGTCGTTCCGCTACAGCAGTGGAAGCCCCGTTAGGCTTTTGCAGTTTGCGCCCCGCATCCTCATCAGAGGTTCTTTATTCCTTGCGATGAAAGCGACAGAAGGGGACAACAAGCACCTGTTCTTTCCCACCTGTGGTTACGTTTTGTTTTACCCGACACCTGCTAGATTTCTTCTCTGCAAAACTATTAAAGATAGTGCCTGTGTGTGAGAGAGACAGGAGGCTATGCAACTTTTAAGCGGTATTTTCGAAAATGGTTATCCATAGTCTTCTTGCTGGAGCTAAGTGAAGCTTCCCCAATTGGGCTTTGTACCTAATGCTGGATCAAAACCCGAGGCTTCCTTTTTCTAACCTGATGCCGTAATCACTACAAAAAACTGGCTCCCCGATTTAAGATACAGATGCACAATTTCCTTTAGTCATACATCACTATTCATCTAGAATAGCAATAGTTCTTTTACACTAAACTACTTTTGTAGTAAAGCTTACACTGAGCCAGATTCAAAGTTCAATTTTAAAATGTTTTGTTTGTCGAAACCAATTTTATTTAACCTAGCCCCAATAAAACCCCAGCAGATAGTATGTGACTTAGATATAGTGGAATCACTCCTATCCTTGGATTCTTCCCATATTTTTTTTTCCAAAATCCCCATAGGAGGCTTTTTGGTCCAAAGTCAATGTATTATTAGATGGTAACCTGGACAGACCTCAATCTCCTGTATTAAAATCATACTTGAACATATTGAACCGTAGAGACTGAATCAGTTTCTCATTTTTAATCTGTCACTTTAGCCTATTATTGTAAAAGTCAACTAGTTCCTTACAGTTTTGAGTGTCTTGCTTTTATGTAACATGCATGCATATTAAATTGTTGTATTGGACTATAAAGCAATAAATATGCAGGTGATATATTATTTACTAGTAGTAAATGTTTGCTATTAGCAATACTGCACTGGACCAATCCAGGATCCATCTTTTGTTTTAAAGAACTTACAGTAAAGCAGAGAAATTAATAATGGGATAGTATTTTGAGCAACAAATGCATCATGGATAATACAATTATGCTTATTTTATATAATTCCAGAGTATAAATAAGGACATAGGTGCATTTAGTTCTCTTGGCATTTTACACCTTAAATGTTTGATTAGCCATTGGGCATTATAGATCAGAAACCATTTTATGCAGTTATCCATTAAAATATATATTCCAGTTAAATAATTAAATCTTTTAAATTGTCTTACTTTTTATTTTTCCATTAGGAGTAAAAAAAAATTATGGCCTTATGGTAGTTTTAATTCTAGAATTGATACATTGAAAGTTAACTTAAAATTATGTTTACATAATTGTATAGCCTTGCTTGAAAAGTTAGCATTTAACTTTTTATTCTTCTTCTTTTCAGCCTGACTAAATATATAGTGTTGCTATGTTTAACTAAATTTTTGAAGGCTCTAGGATTGTTTGAATCCTATGATCTCTTGAAAGTAGTTCACCTTGTACAATTTATCTTCATTGTAAAACTTGGGTGAGTTGACTTTTGTTATTATTTTTAACAAAGCACTTGCAATTATAATTTGTTTTGTATCTAAATGCCTATGGAGATTCTCAGACATTCAGGTCATAGCTGTACCAAAGATGCTTTTTCAAGAGGCACCTGGACTTTCCTGTTTTTCTTTGAAGATGTGTTGCTTCTCATCCAAGAAGCTTCTTCAGCTCTGAAAAAGCACCTTTGGAACATTTGTATCCAAATATCTTTCCTGGGGACTGTTGAAAATTTATGGTCCACTGTTACCAAGCATACTCCCTCATTTTAATTCTTTTTCATTGCCATCTCTAGTCACTTGTTGGAGTCAGTCACATCATTGTCTGTAATTAAATGAATGTTATCCCAAAAAGTATGCAACAGTAATTTGCTAAAATAATTAGCATCAATTTAGAGTTGAGACTATTGTCAGAAGAAATACATTTACAAATTGAGTGTGGTTAATTGGCTAGTAAAAATGTTGCAGATGTATTTATAAGTTTATTTCTGCATATCTTTTAAATAAGTATGTAGAAATAAATACATAAATAATGCAGAAATGCTGTTTTCCTGTAGCTTTCTACAAATCCATATTTTCCTACATGAAATAAGATTTGTTGGGTTCCAGATTAGAAATGATGGATTTGTCTTATTCTGTCAAATGAATGCTTTAAAATGTCATAGCCAAATTTGCAGGATATATAAATATAATGCAGGCACTGGTCTTTTTTTTTCTAAATTGCAGTCATTGACTAACAAGATTTTGTATTTGTACAGATCTGCATTTTTTACGATTTTGATTCAAAAACCATTTTCTTCTGGAAAACCAGTAACTAAGCATCAGGTCTGTAGAACTTTGATCATGTTTATGCAAACTTGTTTAAAGGAATTGTTAAAGTGTCTAGACAAGCTGTGTATATGTACAGATCAGAACATAGCATGTGGAATTAGAATGGCATAATGCTTATTTCAGTTGGAAACCAATTGTACAGGTGAAACTCAAAAAATTAGAATATTGTGCAAAAGTTCATTTATTTCAGTAATGCAACTTAAAAGATGAAACTAATATATGAGATAGATTCATTACATGCAAAGCAAGATAGTTCAAGCTGTGATTTGTCATAATTGAGATGATTATGACTTACAGCTCATGAGTTTCACCTGTAGTATTGCAGAAACTGCCCCAGAATTGTATTAAATCATATGAAAGATCCAAGATATTTTTCATGATTTGCATTGGAAAATGCATTTTGGAAAGCTTAAAAATATTGTGTCTGTTACATATTTATGTCTGCAATAGTTTATTAAAGGTAAGAATTGGTACATTTGGTTGCCTGTTGAAATACATTGAAAACAAAATATTAGTTATCTACATTCTCTACGTATTTTGTTGTATTTACAATCCAAGACCAAATGCCATTCTCTAAAGCAGATAGATTTATTACATGCAAAGCAAGATAGTTCAAGCCGTGATTTGTCATAATTGAGATGATTATGGCTTACCGCTCATGAAAACCCCAAATCCACAATCTCAGAAAATTAGAATATTGTGAAAAGGTTCAATATTCTAGGCTCAAAGTGTCCACTCTAATCGGCTAATTAAGCCATAACACCTGCAAAGGGTTCCTGAGCCTTTAAATGGTCTCTCAGTCTGGTTCAGTAGGAATCACAATCATGGGAAAGACTGCTGACCTGACAATTGTGCAGAAAACCATCATTGACACCCTCCATAAGGAGGGAAAGCCTCAAAAGGTAATTGCAAAAGAAGTTGGATGCTGTATCAAAGCACATTAATAGAAAGTGCTGTATCAAAGCACATTAATAGAAAGTTATGTGGAAAGGAAAAGTGTGGAAGAAAAAGGTGCACAAGCAGCAGGGTTGACCCCAGCCTGGAGAGGATTGTCAGGAAAAGGCCATTCAAAAGTGTTGGGGACTTTTACAAGGAGTGGACTGAGGCTGGAGTCACTGCATCAAGAGCCACCACACACAGACGGATCCTGGACATGGGCTTCAAATGTCGTATTCCTCTTGTCAAGCTGCTCCTGAACAACAAACAATGTCAGAAGTGTCTTACCTGGGCTAAAGAAAAACAGACCTGTCCTCTTTTCTGATGAGAGCAACTTTTGCATCTCATTTGGAAACCAAGGACCCAGAGTCTGGAGGAAGAATGGAGAGGCACACACTGCAAGATGCTTGAAGTCCACTGTGAAGTTTCCACACTTGATTGATTTGGGGAGCCATGTCATCTGCTGGTGTTGGTCCACTGTGCTTCATTAAGTCCAGAGTCAACGCAGCCGTCTACCAGGAGATTTTGGAGCACTTCATGCTTCCTTCCGCAGACGAACTATCTTGCTTTGCATGTAATGAGTCTATCTCATATATTAGTTTCATCTTTTAAGTTGCATTACTGAAATAAATGAATTTTTTGCACGATATTCTAATTTTTCGAGTTTCACCTGTATATGTTTTTCTCAGGATGGTAGAGTTTGGTGTTGTAGTCCTATAATGCTTTAGATACTGCAGAAAAAAGAGTTTAGTAAGCATCAAGTGGCTTCCAGAGTTCTATAGTTCTGCAATTTTACTATACTGTTTAAATATGAATTATGGAATTGTGTATTTCAGAGTTAAATAATCTAACAAAACATTGGGTGTGCTTTTTAAGAGAATGGTTTGGATTCAAAATTGAGTATAAGAATCTTCATGCATTTTTCTTTTCTTCCAGTGGATCAAAATAATTAAGCATGCTGTTATTGGCTGTATAATATCATTCTTGTGGTTTTTTGGCCTTACTCTGTGTGGACCACTAAGGTAAATATATTGTGGATTTATTCATGAAAAATGTGGTGTACAAATCAAGTTTATTTAGGTTAACCTTTTCCAGTCCTACAGAAGTATTGTCATGCCCCTGGTGGAGACTGACTCTGAGGGAGAGGAGGAACAGCCGACAGGGAGTGGAAGTGTAGCTCCAGAGGTTGTGGAGGAGGCTGGGGAAGGGCAGAGGCCGGCTGAGCAGTCAGAGGAGGACCCAGGCCCATCCCCTATCCATCCTAGGGCACACAGGAGGGAGAGGATAAGGGAGAGAGTGGTCTTCACAGGAGGAGAGGGCCTTAATCCTCTTCATGGGCTGCAGGTGTGACAACTGAATAAGAGTTTGGACCTGCATACTGGCAAACGCTGGAAACAAATTATATAAATATCTCTATAGTTTCTGAGTTTGGCGTCCTTCCCAGTGTGTGTTATCTGTGGACATCCTACAGCCCTTATCTTGCCTAGTTTGTGTTGCTTTTTTCCTTCTTCATGTAACTATGTGGGAGGTTTTTTGTCTTCCATCAAAGATATTTGGAGCTTGGAAGCAAACTAAGGAATAAAAGGGGCTTCACCTGTTTTCTGTTATTGTGTTTTGTATCCCACCCTGGGACATCACAAGTATTCAAACAAAACTTCCATCCCAGCCAGCTCAAATTAGCAGTATTTGAACCCAGTCACAATAATAGTAAACAGATAAACTAAAAGGTTACAGTACAATATCTTAAAACAGACTGAGGTGCCACAAATATCCATGATTGTAGCATTTCCTGGATTGTGAATTAAAACCCGCATTATAACTCTTGGAGAAGCTTTAACCTTTTTTCTTACACCAGTTTGAAACATTAGAATTCATAATTTTATTCTAGCCTAAACAAAAGTTATGTTATCCCAGACCCATCCCTTCAGTGCAATCCTATACCTCTCTTTTCAGAAATTGATCCATTTAATGATGGAGAAGGAATTTCTTCAAGGGTAGGACTTGTACATATTCTGTGCAAGGTTACTTAAGAGTAATCTTGAGAAAATATAGATGGAATTCTTAATATGTAGATCATCATTGAACCAGAGAGAGAGGCCAAATTTTATTTCTGTTGTACCTTGCAGAATTCAGCAGAAGACATACTATATACCCTACCCCCAACTATAGAGAAGAATGAGATGGTACTGCAACAACTGTTCTGATTATGTTGGTAGAAAGAATTCCAGAATATTGTTTGAGTGTTTGAGCATCGGGTTTTCAAATTGGTATCTTACAAAAGTACATGCTATGTTCTTCTTTTGCAGAACTGTGTTGATTTTTGAACATAGTGATATTGTTGTCATTTCATTGCTCAGTGTCCTGTTCACAAGTTCCAAAGGAGGACCAGCAAAGGTATCATTTGGTTTGCAAAAAACTTTATGTAATAAAAGTTTTCATATTATCTTTTGTTGTTCTTCTTGTTGCCAGAAGTTATTCATAGTATTTGTCTCCTTTTACAACAAGCTTCTCCATTTTTCCCCCAGACTAGAGGTGTGGCATTTTTTATAATTGCTGTGATCTGTCTGCTGCTTTTTGACAATGATGATCTCATGGCTAAAATTGCAGAACACCGTATCCTTTCTGGTTTTATAATAGAAAAAAAATTACTAGCTGCTTAATTTCAGTGAGTGTTAACATATTGCAAAAAAAAAATGAAGTACTTTATTCAGTTAGAAATTGTGCCCAATTGAATTACAGTACTATTTCTGAAATAAACTTGCTAATACGTAACAGCATCATTAGTGGTTAGGTAATAGCATGCTGTGGTATGCTAGAGCATGTTGGTTTTTATTTAAAAAGTAGTTAATTTTCTTAATTTTCTTCTTCCTTGAAAAATAATCATTAATGAGAAAGGAAACTATAGTTATACCTTTTTCACTCCTGTAAATTAATGTAATAATGAACAGAACTAAGGGTTTGTTTGATTTGTTTGCTTTGCCTATATATAACAATGCTTATTGTTTATTACGGGCCCGCCTTTGGCCTGCAGAGTGCTTTTGGATGCTGGGGAGGACAAAAATGGGACACGTGGAGGCTTTGGGAGGACAAAAACGGGGCCATTTTTAGCCGGCGGAGTGCTTCTGGGCACCAAGGAGGGCAAAAACTGGACCTGCAGAGGCAAAAAACTATTTTTTCTTGTTTTCCCCCTCTAAACCAAGGTACGTTTTATGGTTTGGTGCATCTTGTAGTCCAAAAACATATGATAAGTCAGAAGGGTTCATGTAGCTTGTGAAACCAGCTGTTACCGTGATCATAACCCTCTCTCACCATAGTTGTTGAAAGCACAATTTTCTGACATCTTGTGACAGGTAACAGCTGAAAACAGTAGTGAAATAAGTATAAAAGTAGTCCTCACATAATGACCATTTGTTCAGCAACTATTGAAAGTTATGGCATTGCTGAACAAATGGTAGTTTATGTCTGGTTCCCAAAGTTATGGCCACACCTGCAGTCAACATGATCAAAATTTGGGTGCTTGGCAACCTACCTGTAAGGGTGTTTCAAAAGAGACCAAGCCAGGACTTGCTTGGATCAAGGTGGCTCTATAGTGACTGTTGAGATTTGGTTAATAACAACAGGGATTGCTGTTGCTAAATGATGTGGTCACATGACATCCCTTTTGTAACCAGAGTAGTTGTTGATGGAAATTTCAATCCCAATTACCGTCATAAGGCAAGGATTATCTAAATCAGTTTTTTAAAAAGTCCTGCAAACACCCTGAAAATAGTAGTACCCACTTGTTGTATGCTACCCTGTTACTTTATGAACCACAGCCTCTCAAAAATGTTAAGTCCAGTCAGTAAAATTGTAGCTGGGTCATTAATTGCTCAACTCTGTTGACCAGGAATGTAAAATAAGAATCTAAAGTATAATTTCTTCACATTGGAGAATTCCTAAGTTGGTCCCATAAATAATTATTACAGAATACAATTATTCCCCCTTAAGAACATAAAGCACACAATTCTCCTTCAGAGACCATGAACTATCTGCAATATAATGAGCCAGCTTTCTTACTAAATCAAGATCCAGATTTTTGGCATGTCTACAGATTAGGTTCTTAATAGGAATGCATTCTGTTTGAGGCTATGGAACATTACCTTTGGTAAGAATAAAAAAAATAAGGAACAAGATGGAATTGATAGTGTAAAAGTTACGGATAGTGTAAAACAAGATTTCAGTGTAAAAGTTATAACTCACTTTGAAAACTGTCCCATTAGATTGAAAATGGTTATTTATATTTTTGCATATGCATTCTAATAATGTTTCCAATGTGTGTGTTCTGTCATTTAGGTTTTTTTAAAAGCTATCAACCAATTAACAAAGAAATAGCAGTCATAAGCAGCTAACAAAGTAATGTAACTTCAACGTTTACAAAAACCCTAAAAGGTAAAAAAAAAAAAAAAAGACCTGGGAAAATTATACCATGAACAAAACAATTCCAAAATATTTGCTCAGATTGTTAAAAAATCCTCTTACTTGTTCCTTTGTTTTTCACCTGTAAGGCAATTGTTTGTGATTGAGTATTGCTTAGCTTATCCTTCAAAAATCAGATTAAACTTATTTTTTCACTACAGGGATTTTCTTTCATTTAACTTCTTTAAGAAAGTAATTAATACAAATCAGAATGTTCATGTTATGTATGCCTGAATGAGAGAGGGATACGATCCTGTTGCAGAATTTTCCTGAACTTCAAATTTTTTAGCTGAAGGACATCATGACAGTGCTCTAACCCATATGCTTTATACAGTCATCACTTTCTTAGGAGTTGCAGATCATAAGGTAAATGCTGAATGAACTGTTGAAAAGTTAGTAACTTATTTAATTCTTTTAATTGGTTACTATTAGCAAACATTTTTAAAGAAATACTATTATTAGTTTCTGCTAAACAAATTATTTAACTTTTTTGGATATGCACAGTCCTTAAATGTAAGTACCTTTGTAGATGAAGGACGTGGTTCAATCATCTTTTACTTGGAGGAAAATCCCATTGTACTTAGGGTAGCTTCACAGTAGAAAGACTACATGTATTGCAACAGCATTGACAAATAATTTTTTATTTAATGGCCTCCAATTTGCAATAATTTATTGTGTATTTGTATCATAATGGCAGTGTGTTAAGGTAGCAGAGGACTTGTATTTAGGAAACTGGAAACTTGGATATCACTAGGTGTAGCTGTTGGCATTGATTTTATCAATTGTTTACAAATTTCTGGGGCTGCCAATAATTTTATATGTGTTTTTTTCTTCTGCTTTCTGAGAAAAATGTAATGTGGTATTTATTACTAGAGATATACTTAAAGGAATATTGAGCATTTGTTTTTTAGGGTGCTAATTGAAGTCTTTTTCATTTTTTCTTTTGGTAGGGTGGAGTAATCTTGCTTGTATTAGCATTGTGTTGTAAAGTTGGATTTCACACAGCTTCCCGAAAACTCTCAGTAGATGTTGGTGGAGCCAAACGCCTTCAATCATTATCACATCTTGTTTCAGTTTTCCTTCTGTGTCCTTGGGTGATTGTTTTGTCTCTGACAACAGAGGTAATTAGCATCACTTGACTATTAAAGAGAAAGGAGCATTCTGATGTTAAAACGTTATATCTAAGTCACCTTTGTTAATGCAGTCAATATCTTCAATCTTCAAGCCATCACTCTCAGAGAGGCAGTTTTGTTTGCTCCATGCCTTTCCCAAAAGGATTGAAAGTTCTGCAGTTTCATCTTGAAACATATTCTCTAGAAGAAGTACCGTATATACTCGAGTATAAGCCGAGTTTTTCAGCCCATTTTTTGTGCTGAAAAAACCCCCCTCGGCTTATACTCGAGTCAGATTCCCCTCTGAAAAAAAAATGGTGTGGAGCTCCAGAGCTGGGCAGCCGCTTCCCTGCTTCCGTGTTTCCTTTGCAACTTTTAAGCATGGGGGTAATCGGAAGCAGAAAAGTTCTTGCATGAGGATATATTGTTTTTTCTTTTTTTAACTGTTTTTAGGGAGGGGGAAAGACCCACCGCCATGTGAGAATGCTCAGACACGAAATCTATCCGCCCGAAAATAAGTGTGTGTGTGGGGGGGATTTTTAACAGAGGGAAGATGTAGGGAGAAGGCAAAAGCTACGGAAGATCCTTCAGGGGAAACTGAGGGGGAGACTCACCCTTGGTCCAGATGAGCCCCCTTCCCCGCCCCTAAGGAAGCAGAGGCAGCCAGCAAGGGCAGGCAAGCCCCACTTCACAGACTCCGTCCATCCTCGCTCCCACCCACCACCCACCCAAAGCCACGAAATCCCCCAATCGCGCAGCCCAGAATCGCCCTCCCCTCGGGGCAGCAACGACGCCCGGTGTTTCCCGAGACAAGAAGCTTTGCCGTGCAATGAAAGCGCCCTGGCTCTAGGCTCTAGGCTCAGAAAACAATGCGAGCCGAGGTCGCTTCGGCTCCGCTCAACTTCGTTTCCTCAGCCCCAGCTGCTTTCAGTCCGCTCGGGAGGAGGGGGAGGAGGTGGTGGCGGCTGCTTGCGTTTTCTGAGCTCTAGGCTCAGAAAACAACGCGAGCCGAGGTCGCTTCGGCTCCGCTCAGCTTCATTTCCTCCTCCTCCTCCCGAGTGGACTGAAAGCAGCTGGGGCTGAGGAAATGAAGCTGAGCGGAGCCAAAACGACCTCGGCTCGCGTTGTTTTATGAGCCCGTGAGCCTAGAGCTCAGAAAACAACGCGAGCCGCCGCCGCCACCACCTCCTCCCCCTCCTCCCGAGCGGACTGAAAGCAGCTGGGGCTGAGGAAACAAAGCTGAGCGGAGCCGAAGTGACCTTGGCTCGCGTTGTTTTCTGAGCCTAGAGCCAGGGCGCTTTCATTGCACGGCAGAGCTTCTTGTCTCGGGAAACACCGGGCGTCGTTGCTGCCCTGAAGGGAGGGCGATTCTGGGCTGCGCGATTGGGGGGACTTCGTGGCTTTGGGTGGGTGGGAGCCAGGACGTTGACTTTAAGCGGTGCCGACCAAGTGTTTCACAAATACCAGTGGGACCTCCGTCCACCACCACCCCTCCCTCTTTTGCCTCCTTCCTTCTGATCAATCAGGTTTTCCCAGTATTTGCTCACAGCTGCGTGCTAGGCGTTGAACGTGGGGATTTCTGATTCCCCTTACACGTGCGTGGATATGCCGCGGGGCGTTTTCTTCCAAATGCCCCACGGGCAGAGAACACTGACTTTCATGATAGTGAGATCATTTCCCAAATTAATTGATTCACTAACCCAAAAGAAGAAGATGTTGATGACAGTGGGAGGCAGGGGTCACTCTCCCTTGCACGAAAAAAGCAAGAGCCGTTCTTATGATCTCTCTCTCTCCCCGTAATACAGTCAAGCCCTTTCCAGCATGCGCGATCCGCCCCCGCCGCTTTGCACCTTGCAAATGCAAAAACCCCGAGATTTTGCATTTGCAAGGTACAAAGCTGCGGCGGCAGATCGCGCGTGCTGGAAAGGGCTTGACTGTATTACGGGGAGAGAGAGAGAGAGATCATAAGAACGGCTCTTGCTTTTTTCTTGCAAGGGAGAGAGTGACTCCTGCCTCCCACTGTCATCATCATCTTCTTTTGGGTTAGTGAATCGATTAAACCTTTCATGATAGTGATATCGTTTCCCAAATTTCCCTTAAATCAGGGAAGAAATCACAAAAAAACCTTTGGACTGAGAATAAGCCTGTTCCTACGATGCCATTTTTATTCACTGCAGTGTGAAAAGTGTGAAAAAACACACTTCTTTTTCTTCATCATCTTGTTCCCTATTTACTGGTCTCTTTCAAAGAGGAAATTGTGAACATCAAACTTATTCTCAACTGTCCTAGTGAAAGTTTTTATTGGTATCTATTTTTATTTTTGAAATTTACCAGTAGCTGCTGCATTTCCCACCCTCGGCTTATACTCGAGTCAATAAGTTTTCCCAGTTTTTTTGTGGTAAAATTAGGTGCCTCGGCTTATATTCGGGTCGACTTATACTCAAGTATATATGGTAGCTTTTTGCGCTTCTCTCATTTCCCAAAGAGAAAGGAACAAAATGGGTAAAATAGAAGCACCTCCTAGTTGACTATCCCACCTGTATCATTTCCTTCAGCGTAAAGGTAGGAGTGGGGCAATCAAAACAGGACCATGTTGACACATTCTGTTCAGGATAAGGAAAAGAGATTTTGAAGAGGCAGTTCCTGCAGTGTGTCACAGTTTGACACAACGAATACTACAATAGTCATTAGATGAAATTATGAAGGAACAGGTGAATGCTAGCAATAGCACTTATATTCTGCTCCTTAGTGCTTTACAGCCCTCTCCCTCACTGGTGGTCCATGAGAAAATTTTGGTGGTCTGCAGAGAAATGTCACCCCCAAAACACCCCCCCAAAGCAATTAATCCAGGCTGCACAGAAACACAAGGCTGCGCTGCCCACATGGCCCACATTGCAAAGCTTGCATTGCAAACAACACGAGGTAGTGAGGGGAGGGGAAAAGGGCGGAGAGGGGGAACTTGCCCCACTCGCCCCGGGCTTCTTTTTTCCGCTTCTTTTTTCTTCTGCTTTTGGCTGCACACAAGGAAAGCAGCAGAAGTCTTTCTTTCTCTCCCACAAACTCCGCCAGAAATGAGTGTTTGGGACCCTGCAAGGCATCCTGCTCCAAGAGGCTGCACTGGCAAACACTCATTTCTGGCGGAGTTTGGGGGAGAGAAAGAAAGACTTCTGCTGCTTTCCTTGCATGAAGTCAAAAGTCTCCCCCCCCCCCTCCCGAGAATGGAGCTGGAGATGGTATCCTGCGATCTCAAATAAATAAATAAATGATCGATCGGAAGGAAAACGTGGTGGGGAACTTTCCTGCAGACTTTTGGGGGGATTTTCCCAGGGTCTCTGCTGCTTTCTGCAGAGACTGGGAAAATGTCAGCAAGCCACTGTCAGTCAAAATTCATATTGGTAGTCCGCGGGATTTAGAATTATGAGTTTGGTGGTCCCTGAGGTCCAAAAGGTTGGCGACCCCTGCTCTAAGCGGTTTACAGAGTCAGCATACTGCCCCAACAATCTAGGTTCTCATTTTGCCAAACTCAGAAGGATAGAAGCCTGAGTCAACCTTGAGCCAGTCAGAATCGTATTGCCAAACTGTTGGCAGCCAGCAATCAGCAGAAATACCCTGTAGTACTGAATTGTAATCACTGTGCAACCATGGCTCTTCTATTATGTTTACTTTGTCAATTACAGAAGTTAGAAATGCAACTATAGTCGACTTTGTTTCTAAAACTGACATCAAAATTACAGCTGATTTTCACCACTCCAAATTTCACTTTCATTTTTTTAAAAAACACATCAGTTTAATTCAATTTCTTGCTATTTTTAAGAACATTGTCTTTATAATGTTATGAATTTTGCTACCTTTTCCTTAAATATTTTTATAAATCTAACAGGCTATAATTGACCTTCAAGTCATTCTTGACTTCTGGGAATTGCCTGGACAAGTCCCTGCAGTTTTCTTGCCAAGGTTTTTCAGAAGTGATTTGCTGTTGCCTAATTCCTAGGGCTGAGAAAGAGTGACTGGGTTAAGTTCACCAACTTGATTTTGTGCCTAAAGCAGGACTAGAATTCATGATCTCCTGGTTTCTAGACTGATACTTTACCTACCAAACTGGCTTTCTACTTGGAAAGTTGATCAATTGAAATTCTGAATTTACTGTGATCCACAGTACTGTAGAGATTGCTAGAGTAAATTCTTGGAGATGAATGTTGTACTTGTTAGGAATATGAGTCACCTAACAGCTATTTGGGTTAGAAATATATAAACCAGGATAAACATTTTAAAATTGTATCTTTAAGAAAATGCAAAACTGTAATTAGGTGTGGTTTCTCAAACGGCCATAAGATGGACCCAGAAACCTGGGTTGTTTTAGTCTTAGTCTCAGAAGAGAGTGTGAGTTTTCCTTCTGTTGAAAAGTATTGCCGTTCCTCCATTTCTTCTAATTCAGGGGTCCCCAACCACCGGTCCACGGACCGGTACCGGTCCGCGGAACAAGTCCTACCGGGCCGCTGGTTGCTGTGCGCCGCCATCTTTTTTTGATGAAAAAGTGCTTCCGGTGAGGTTTTCCGGGTAGAAAGCTCACCGGAAGCACTTTTTCATCCAAAAAAGATGGCGCCGCCAGCGCTTCCGGTGAGCTTTTCCGGGTAGAAAGCCATTTCTACCCGGAAAAGCTCACCGGAAGCGCTGGCGCCGCCATCTTTTTTTGATGAAAACGTGCTTCCGGTGAGCTTTCTACCCGGAAAAGCTCACCGGAAGCACTTTTTCATGAAAAAAAGATGGTGGCGCCCAGCAAGCCGCGGCCCGGTAGGAGTTGTTCCGCGGACCAGTACCGGTCCGCGGACCGGTGGTTGGGGACCCCTGCTATAGATAACTTGGTAAAACAGTTTTGTGTATAAGGACTGCATTTTTTAGAAGTTTCCTAGCAATCAGAGACTAATTTTATTTCTCTGCATTTTCCTACGAATGTTAACTTCACAAAAACGTATATCTCTTTAAGGATCTAAGTCATCCATTTAGTCAGCAGTAAAACTAATGGCAGTGTTCTACAGAACTATGCAAATGACTTGTGAACTAATCTGAAGGGGCAGCTGCTTTTGAAACTGATGACAAAATTCAAAAGCATTCGGTGATATGTCAGGAGACATTGTTGTTCATATGATATAAAGTGGTGAGGGAAGGAAACACTAAAGAAAGAGTGTTTGATTCCTTTCCATTACTTTTGTATGTTCCTAGATAATAGCAATCAGCTTCATCCAAACTTTGTACCCCAAAGTCCAGAATATGCTGTCTTACCCAAAAATTGCAATGGCTAAAACTGTACAAGAAGGAGCTTTACCTCAGTGTGCACAATTGATTGACTTGGAGTAGCACTTACTTTTTGTTTCCTCTTGGAAATTTTGTTTTCTTAGCTGTTTCTTTGGCCACATTGCCCGACCATTGTTAAAAGCCTTGTTAAAAACATTTTTGATCCTGTCTTGCGCTTTGCATTTTAAATGTTCAGACAAAAAATTGCACGATGAAAAGAAATAATGTATCAGTGGATTGTTTTATTCTTATCAAAGCTAGATAAATTACTAAAAGGCAAAAGACCATAGCAATAGCATTTACAGTAGATGCAGTAGCACAGTAATGCAGTAATGCATGCTAACTCAATATTCATTCCAGGAGTTTGATTCTGACCAACTCAAGGTTGACTCAGACTTCCATCCTTCTGAGGTCGGTAAAATGAGGACCCAGATTGTTGGGGACAATATGCTGACTCTATAAACCACCTAGAGAGGGTTGTGAACATATACTGGTTCAGCAGTGTGAACCAGTATATGTCTAAGTGCTGTTGTTATTACTAGACTTATATAATGCCCCATAATGTTTCACGGCACTCTCTGAGCAATTTACAAACGTCAGCATATTGCCCCAACAATCTGGGTCCTCATTTTACTGATCTCAGAAGATGGAACGCTGACTCAACCTTGAGCTGGTCAGGATTGAACTCCTGGCTGTGGGCCAAGTTAGCCTGCAATACTGCATTCTATGCACTGTCCCGCCACGGCTCAAAAGACAAGCAGTAAAACTTTTTTCTACATCTTCGCTTTAATAGTTGTGAAATGGAAATCATTCTCGGGTATAATTTTCTCTTTTATAAAAGCAAACGTTTGAAATGCTTATTCAGAATATAATTTTCTTCCTGATTATACTTTGTAGAGTACTATATGTATCTTTTTTTCTCCACTAGATATGAATTTTTGTAATCAGTTTGCTACGTAACATTAAAATGTGTTTCATTTTCAAAGACAACATTAATTTTTTATTTGTTTTAGGCTTTTACATTTATAGAATTATTTTATGGTGTATGGACCAATAGTCTAGGATTAATTTCGGATGGATTTCACATGCTTTTTGACTGTTCAGCTTTAGTTATGGGTCTCTTTGCAGCACTGATGACTAGATGGAAAGCAACCCGTATATTCTCCTATGGGTATGTATACTGAATAAATTATAAAGATTTCTTAAAGGGTATAACAACAAAGTTGTGAGACTAAAAGATAGGTAACTTATACCAAATAAACATAATGAAAAGACTCAGTTTATACTAAAGTAAAACAATGATATATTGTTTTTGAATAATCACAATTTATGTATTGTCTAAGTTTTTTTAAGCCATGGTTTACAAATCAGAAGGAGAGACAAGACTACTGCTCCCAACTCTTAATTTTCCAGAAAGTATTAAATACCTGGTTCCTATCCAAAGCCTTGGGTTAGGATGGTGATTGAGCCTCTTTTAGACTTTTAGTCTGGTCAACTGTATTTTTTTTTTTTTGAAAAATTAATAAAATATTGTTACAGTATATTTATCATCAGTCAGCCAGGGTATATTATATATATTATATATATGTGTTTTTGTCTTATCTTTTTTACTACACATTTTTAAATGTTCTGTCTATTTTTGTTTGCTTTTCTATTCGTATTTGGGGAGGGGGAGGTTGGAATTTGTATTTTAACTTTAGGAATAAAATAATTTGTTAAAAAAAGAATGATGGACTTTCAAGTCCAATTAGCACTGTTAAACAAGGACTATCTGAAATATTAGGTTCTCAGAATAGTTTGAAATTTCAGCATATTCATAACAGCTCAGTATGTTTGTCTATAGTCTTATTCCTTGTTTTCTCAATTGCAGGTTTGGCCGTGTGGAAATTCTCTCAGGTTTTATTAACGGCCTTTTTCTCATGGTAATAGCTTTCTTTGTCTTCACTGAGTCCGTGACCAGACTGGTTGATCCTCCAGATATAGATACAAATATGCTGACTGTAAGTTGGTAACTTTGTTTTCTATAACCTTTAAATATACTGCTCTAAAGCATTTTTAAAATTCAGTAGAAACAGGATTCACTTTTCCAAGCATATCTGATGCTGTTAAGTTCATAGAAGTTTCCCATGACAATGAAAATAAATCACACTTGGGTGGCATCAAAATTTTCATCCTTAATTTTTTTTAAAAAACGGTGCTTTTCCTTCAAAGAAAAAATGGTGGTAAAGGTGTTGAACTGAGGCTGGCAACTCAGAAAGCCTTTATGTGCCAGGACCATTGACATCCTTTTACGTTTATGTGGCAATAACACTGAAATGGGCATAAAGTGTCATGATTTCATATTTCTGCATAGCAAAAAAATGGACAGTGTTATTCTATTGTTGGTAATGGCAGAGAAAATGCACCAGTTTTGCTCTTTTCTCCTCTTGGAGATAAAAACAAAACCTAGTGTCTTGTCATTGTCTCAGTCAAAAGATTCGGAATTGTGCATTCTCAAGATGAAAGTTGGGGGAGAATTATGTGAATAGTAAAGGAAAAATACATGTCTGATTATGCGCCCATGACCCACCTAATCTAACATACTGCCTTCTCTCAGGGGGTATTAATAATCAGCCTCTTTTAAGTAATGTACAATAGTAGAATAATCTATTATTCTTCATTCCATTTATGCAATTGTTGCCATGCTTAAACAAAAATACATTCATGTAAATATAAATATAAATACTTGATTCCATTCAGTATTTTCTGTCCAGGCTGAACTGTATATTGTGACATCTATTTCAGGTTTCCCCTAATTAAAAGAATGTGAATAATAAAAATTTGCAACTGTTTCACAGTTTGCTAAATTCTATCTTCTCCTTTGTACAAAAACTTGGGACATAAGCAGGTTGGCAGATGCCACAATGATACAGTGGTAGATGGAATCTAATCTACATTTCTCTTATGGCCTGAAATTTAAATTACTTCTGAAGTAGATTTGGCTGCAACTGCATTTACAGAAGGAAAGAAATGTTGTTTAATGACATACAACCAGTGCCAACATTAGGCTTCTGTGTGAGGGTTAGGGCAATTTGCTAACTTCTTGAATGTTTTTTTCATATTCTTCAATGTGTTGTTATTTTTGTATTTAGTCCTATATTGCTTATTGTTTGTTTTAATGATGTATTTAACCCACTTTAACATGAGGCATTTTGATTAGGTGTCCATTGTAAACTAACTAACTAAATGAATGAATGAATCAATCAGGCTTGACTATAGCTCCATTGCTTTTAAGAGTTCCCAAGGGGTATATTCATATATCATTTCCATAGTTAAAGGAGTGAGCTGATTCTAAATCTTAATTAGCATCAAACTCTGGTTAATATTAACAATGAACATGTAAATGTACACGGCTAAGGAATTTCCTATACAGCAATATTGTAAACATACAGTCTTGCATTCTTCCATCTGTTTCTTAGTTGTGCAGAGTGAAAGATTGCAGTTTTGCATCACCATATAAGAGATTCTTTATTCCTGACAATTACGTAACAGAGACCTAAGTGTTATCAGCACCATGATTCTCTGAATACAAAACATTTATATTGCAGTATATTCATTCTGTTTTCATTAAGAATTCTGTAATCTATGGGACGAGGATAACGACTTGGGGAGGTTACTTTAGGCGAGGTTCTTTGTTTTCTTAGGCATAGCTAATGGCATTAAATAAAGTTTAAAGATTTCTTTTGTTCTTCTTCATGCAGCCTGTTTCAGTTGGAGGACTGATAGTAAACCTTGTTGGTATCTGTGCCTTTAGCCACGCCCATTCCCATGGGCCTTCTCGAGGAGGATGCCATGAGCACAGTCATTCCCATCACAGCCATGGCCATGGCCATGGCCATTCCCACAATGACCATGGGCACACTCATAATCATGGACATGGGCATGGATCCTTAGGAGGCAGTATGAATACCAATATGAGGGGTAAGTAGAAAGCAATGGATTTTTTTATGGCTTCAGTTTTTATTTACCATAGAATGACATATAATATAAAGGCATCCCTCAGGAAGGGCATCTGGCCAGTAAACACTGAGCTCCATTCAGTCGCCCTGATTCTATCCCAAATTAAGGGATTACAGAGTCATAAAAGGGAGGTTTTTTTTAATGACATATAAGATAAAGGCCTGTGGCAAACTCACCTGGATTGTGTGTGTTTGTTGTTTGTTTTTTCTCATTCTTATCCAGTTCTTGTTATCTTTGCTATTCTTTTTATTCTTTATTTGTATTACTGTTTTTTTTTTTTAACTTGGGAACTATCCATAGTTATTGAAGTTGAGTGGCATACAAATGTAATAAATAATTTTTAAAAATAGATCATAAAAGTATCTTAAGATATCAGATTTTAAAATGGATCAATTAGAGAACTTGATATAGGAGTACTTACCTCTGCTGTTCATGTCGCTTAACTGCTAAGTGTATTAATGATCTGTGTTTCCTTCTCCACTCCAGGAGTGTTTCTACATGTCTTGGCAGATACCCTTGGCAGTGTTGGTGTTATCATATCAACAATTCTCATTCAACAGTTTGGATGGTTGATAGCTGATCCACTCTGTTCTCTATTTATTGCTACGCTGATTTTTCTCAGTGTTATCCCTCTAATAAAAGATGCTTGCCAAGTACTCTTGTTGAGACTGCCTCCAGAACATGAGAAAGATCTGCACATGGCTTTAGAAAAGGTTAGAAGTAACAACGCCTATAACAACATACAAATGCATTATTATTTTTTGGATAAACATAATATTGAACAATATTATAGAATATTTATTACTGGTTATTCTGTGTTTTTTAACAGATCCAGAACATAGATGGTGTCATCTCCTACAGAGATCCTCACTTCTGGTGTCACTCTGCTAATGTGGTGGCAGGCACAATACATGTACAAGTAATGTCAGAAGTAATGGAACAGAGAATAATACAGCAGGTATCTTAGTATGTTCATTCTTCATGAATCTTCAGTTCTCGCACTTATGACTTTCTCTAGATTAGTGAAATGTCAGTTGCCAATAGCACAACCAAATGGTAAAATTACCTTCGTGATAACATCTTCTGAAAGTTGTTCATTGCCTTCAATTAGTAGAATGATTAAACGGATGTAATTTTAGCATGTCTTGCATATAACTCTCCTCTGTGTGCATTATTGAAGGCAATCTTGGTCCGGGGCAGTGGTGCTATGCTACCAGTTCGGCCCGGTTCTGCCAAGCCAGTAGCGGCGATGAGCAACAGAGACAGAATCGGTTCTCTCCGCCACTCTGCTGTTGGGCCTACCTGCCCACCCTGTCTCCCATACTCACCTTTATCTTCTGCTTTTGAAGCGCAGCTGCTTTGCGCAGCACAGAAGAATGCCGCGCGGCAGCTGCTGAAGCGACCAGGAGAGTGCAGGCTTGCAGGAGATGAGGTGGAACACCTCTGCACCTGTGCAAATGCCTCTGCGCCTGCGTAAAGTGCGTGTTTGGCGTGCGCATGCATGCAAAGTATGTGCATGCGTGCAAAGCACACACCCCAAGCCACACCCACCAAACCGGTGGTAAAAGTTTTTGAATCCCACCACTGTTCTGGAGATTATTTATTTTCAAAGTTATTTCCAAGCCTCCAGAAGTTTCCAACAGATGTAGTAGTGATAAGATGACTTAGATGAGACAGGGATGGAACTGTGGAACACTATACCTATTTTTTTTGCCTTTAAAAATTAAGTGTAACATATATGTCATTTGCGGAATGCATTTATTTTTCTATTCCTTCCTCCTTTAAAAAAATGATGAGATTGATCAGTACAACTTTGTACAACCCAATTCCAGTAGGAATTGGGAAATTAAATTCATTTCCCTTGTTTTTCTAGTTTTGTTTGAAATTGCAGTGTCTTTGGTACAATGTACTTTCACTGTAGTATAATATTCACTTTTGTGCATATTATACCAATAGAAAAAGTAGAATCCCAGGTTAGACTTGCTGAGACAACAAGTCATTCCTCTGCTGCCCAGAAAGAAGCTTTTAAAGAAAACATTTTTCACATGTAGAAGATTTACAATGTAGATCGGGTGTCAAACTCACGTCATGGCAGCATCAAGTATCAGGACTTTTTCCCCTTTGCTAAACCAGGGTGGACGTGGCCAGCACGTGACGCATCCAGCCCATGGGCCAGGAGTTTGACAGCCCTGTTATAGGTGATAGAGTAGTATTTCTTGCCTAAGAGCAGTTATCTTCCTTAGATCTTCAGAGAGAGTTTTGCTGGAAATTTAATGTTTGTGTTTTACTGTTCATTTTTTTGTTTAGGTATCAGCTGTTCTCAAGGATTCTGGTGTTAACAATTTGACTATCCAGGTGGAAAAAGAAGCTTATTTTCAGCATATGTCTGGCCTCAGTACGGGGTTCCATGATGTCCTTGCAATGACAAAACAAATGGAATCCATGAAGTACTACAAAGATGGTACTTACATCATGTAATTTGGAGTTCATCTTCATTATTTCATCAAGAGAATTTGCACATAAATGTACAGATATATATGGATGGATTTATAATACACACACACACACACACACACACACATATGGATTTTTAGACAAACCGTTACATACCTTTAAAACCAGATCAAGAGGTTTATAAAAATGTGGGACACCTAGGACATTTGCTGTATATGTGGAAATAATGGCAATGTAAAATATTGTATTTGGTGTCTTATTAAACTGAATTTGCTATATGAATGTGGATGAGCACAAATGTATTGTACACTTTCCCCAAAGAGGAATAATGAACATTTCTCTTCCATTGCAATCTAAAATTGTTTTCATAAGCTTTGTAAAGGAAATTAGCACTCCATAAAAAAATTTGTCTTCAAAATTATTTTGAAGCTTTGCTGCTGTATGTGTACTTACACATTGAGTGCAAATGTTTTTTAAAACATTAAATACAAATGTACATTTTATATAAATTCCATTTCTGTATACAATCCTATTTTCTAAGGATGGCTTTTTTAAAAATGAAAATAGATTCTGCTATAGAAATATTGTCAGGTGAATTAATTTTTTTAGAAGGAAAAATTCCTGGTAACCACAAACCAGGGAGGGAAACACTTTTTTTTTTGTTTTTGCACTTCTGTGTTCCTTAGTTTGAACCACTGTGTAAAATAAATACTTTATAATTTTTATAAGCATCTAGTGAAATTATTGCATAAATTACAGACTTAAAATTAGAAAAAATTCTGTGACAATTGAGTTTTCTGCCTTGAAAATGACACTGTGAGTTCAATTTTCTATAGAATTTTAAGCTATAAAGTTCCTCTAAAATGGCATAGAATATTTAGACAAGTTCAATACCTGTTATGACAACACACATTGAAAGAAGCAGAATAGGCGATGGTGAGGTTGGAAAGAGAACATAGGACTGGGAAGGATGTTTTTTTTTCATTTCAGATGTAACAAGTATGAAATCATTAAAGGATTAATTTCCCTTAAATATCATTGACCCTTTCAGTATTTCAAATAATGGAGGCAGTTGTCTACATCAGTAAAAAACAATTGTCCTTAAATTATGCCCCTTAAGATAATGAACCACATTTCTGCTTAATATGATGCAGTTTGTCTTCCCCACCATTCTAGAACTATGAACATTGAACAAATATGTAGACAATGTTATGTCTGTTGAATCTGCTTGTATTTGAATGCCAAAAGATGATAAAGGTATTTATCCAGCACTTTTAAGTTTCATTCTGTGTTGAAATGCAGAATACAAGACTTAAATGGATGTGACAAATGTAAATAAAGTTTGCCCAGAGTCCAACACAATATTTTGGTAAGCAAACTGAGTAAATATAAGCCAAGCCATTGCAGCAGATGCCACCATCAAACAAACCAGATTCACCGCTACCACAGCCATAGCACAGTTGGACCTGAATGTGAAGGAATCCAAGGGCTGTTGACTAGGCTGAAAAGTTCAGTGTCTTAGAAGCAAGCACTGACAAAGCACTTTCATGTTGCGATTAATAAAACTATACAAATATTTCTATATAGTTAAAAAAAAACCAAGCTCAATTGGAAGAAATCTTTTGATAAAAATCTCAAAATGATTACTTATTTCTACTCAAACAGAGATGTTTTGTCTGAGTATGATGTCCTTCAATAGTTTTATTATTTATATTGTGTAAAGACGGTTTTCCTCAGTTACAGTTTCCTTTATGCGTTGGCCACAACTACACAAGACTCATGGAGGTTTTATGACAACTTTACAAAGCCTGGTGTTCCCCCCACAACTACAACAGTCATTAGTCAATATAACCATTGCTTATTGGAAACATAAGTAACTGCTTCAATAGGTCCATAAAAGCAGTAGCAGTTTAATGACATGAAATCAGCAGGTGTCATACATTGATAATATGGCAGCCTATTGACTATCAACTGCTTTTAAGGGTCCTAAATTTTGAATCCTATCTTCACCTGGGAATAACCCAGCCTGAAGTTTACTTCTGTGGAGGCATTCCTGGGATTGTCATTTGTTATATACAGTTAGATTTTAGCATTAAGACAATTAGTTTTCAATCACATAAAAGCACATATGATAGTAAAGTGATATCAGGATGTTATGGGCCAATAAAACCTAAGAATATCTGCCTTCTGTATATTTTGGTGTGAGAGTATTATGTATTACTGTTTGCCACCAAGTTAATTCATTCAAGTTGAAGAGACTTAAGATGCTCAGTATGTTTCAAATGAAATCCGTAACTGACCCAATAACTTATTTCTCAGCTTAACATGCACCATTGTTGCAACAGTGAAATTCCTGGCTTTTCTATATAAGTAACCTCTATGTGAAAATAATAAATATCCATTAGTAATAAGAAATCAGGAGAAGCCATCTTTCTCTCTTTTTCATCTACATTTTAACATTTCTATGACCAGCAAAGATGCAGTTGGCTCCAGCAGAAACGTGCAATCATAGAGATACCATAGATGTTGATTGTTTTGACGATTATAAACGTTTAATTTATGGGGACCTAGTTGGGAAAAGAGGTATCAGCTGTACTTATGATGATGCACTTCATTGTACTGGTTTACTAAGATACACCAAATTTCAAACTGACCTGAGGTTTACGATGATCGTAAATAAAACTGACCTAAGGTTTTAATAGTTTTCCAAAGAAACCCACTTATTTTTGTAAGCTGTGGTATATTTCTACCAGAGCAGAGGTTTCCAACCTTGGCAATTTTAAGACTTGTGGACTTCAACGGCAAAGCTGGCTGAGGAATTCTGGGAATTGAAGTCCACAAGTCTTAAAGTTGCCAAGGTTGGAGACCCCTGTACTAGAGGAACAACTCATATTTTCTAAAATTTCTTACAGTTAACATATGCGTAATTTAAGTTTTCAAAGTGATCATCGATCGCAATTATCCCACCCTTCTAGTAATAACCTTTTCTCTCCCAGCTGAGCATTAAACTGAAGGACATGTGATCCAACCTGCCAATCCTCTCTTAACCACGCCTCCTTTTTCGAACTCTTGGAGGAATCAGCCTTCCGTAGTCGTAGAAACGCATTTAGAATAGAACGCTGGGCAGCCAATGGAAAGAGGCGGAAACTGAAAAGCAGCCAATGAGCGCAGCCTGGTGCGAGTTTTAAACTTGCTGCGGCAGGCAAAGATTTCGGACTCGTGCAGCAGCAGTAATCCGCTCTCTTTTCGGTCCTGGCGAGTAAGGGAGCGATTCGGAGCAGACCGGTCGTGAGGATCTAGGAATCCAGCCGAGGCCATGGCTTTGCGAGTTACCCGGGTATGGAGGAAATTGCCTGGGAGGTATCTTTAGGCCGGTTAGGATTTGTAGGAGCCTTGCGGCAGTTTATACTGAAATTCTACCTAACTTAACGGGGGGTATCTTTTGAGCATCGTGGGGTTTACTTGTAAATAAATCTGTTCCAAAGATGAGTTGTGCTAGTTTTGTCTACGATGAAGGTGCGGTAATGGTGCGAGCAACATGGCGGTTGTGACAAATATACCTTGTTCCTCTCTCTTTCTGAGGTTCTTCTCGTATTTCTGACCCTCTATTTGAACGGGGAAGTCGAGGTTGCCTGTTGCGGGTGGAAAAACGTCATCTTGCCTTGTTAAACGTATATAATTGAATCCTACTCCTAAAATATATCTGAGGGTTTGTTTTTCCGTACATTGAAGAGCCTACAACTACTTGAAAGAAGCAAGCTACTTTTTTTCCCCTTCCCAGTTCTTCATAATGCCGAGTAATATTTCTGAATGTTCTGTCACTTTTTGTTTGTTTGTTTGTTTTTTGGTAGAACACAAAGGTCAATGCTGAGAACAAAACCAAACCTGCAATGGCCCTCAATAAGCCAGGGGTTGCTGCTAGCAAGCCAGCTTTAAGGCGTAATAGGACTGCTTTGGGAGACATTGGCAACAAAGCTTGTGAGCCACAGTCTAAAGACACAGTGAAAAAGGTAATCCTTTCTTTGCCTGTTCTTTATTCAGTAATGCAGTAGGGGTTAGGAATATGCAGGACTGTGGCTTTACTGTTTGTTTTTTTCTTCCCACACCACTTTTCCACTTAGGAAGTGTTGAAGCAGCCTACAGCCGTGGACAAAGTAACTATTCGGAAAACCACAAAACCTACTGAAAAACCTGTGAAAGAAAAGCCAATTCCAGAACCAGTTAAGGTATAAATAAGTGTAAATAAGTGTTTAAGGGTCCTGGCTAATTACGAGCAAAGACTTTCTATTTAGATTTGTAAACTTGTAGTTGTTGGAAGCAAGAGATTTAGAATTTTTATTTACTTTTAATAGGTTGCAGTTTCAAACTTTTGCTTTATATATAGGTTGCAATATTTCAAATGACCTCTAGATGGCAGTAAAGAAATATATTAGCCCCTGATCTAGCTATGATAGTCAAAACGGCTAAGATTCTAGGTTTGATTCTGGTTTAGGATGATATTCCTAACCTAACAATCTATTAATATTAATTTTATTCTAGGCTTATTTTTAGTGATTTCATAGATTTCACCTAATATTGTCACTAGTTGAGATGGAATATAAAGATGTAAAGTACATCTTAACCTACAATCAAGGTCAATTGATTTGCTAATCAAGTGCCACTTTGAATAGTGATAGATGGTATATAAATGTAATAAATTTAAAAATTATGTAACATATTGAGCTACTTTCCTTAGATGTCATCAATACAGTATTTTTTCAAATGTAATATCCAACTGCTTTCTCTCCAACAGTATTACATTTTTAATCTGCACAATTAGGGCAGAGCCAATTTTAGCATCTCTACCCTTCAATTCCTTGAAAGATTCAACTTTCAATTTACCTCTGATTTGCAACTGTACTTTAGGCCCTTCTTTGGTATAAAGTAAGGCTTAATACTATCAATAAAACTTGGATAACGAGCAGATCTTTTATATTTGCATGTTCTTAAGCAATCATTGAACCAACTAATGAATTTAATTACATCTATAGTTATGCAGCTGGAAGTACATACTGTAGGTGAAGCATCCACAGGAAATAGCTGCAACTTCAGTCTATGAAACACAAATGCATCCTTAGAGACACATGATGTAGCCTTTTCCTGGCACAATGTCAATGGGTCCAAAGAATGCTCTGAATGAAGCAAAAATATGCTACATATTTTTCTGATGTTGTGGGTTATGTACTAAATAAAGATACTATCTTTCCTTATAGTTGGAGTCTCTGTCCCCAAGCCCCATGGAAACATCTGGATGTGCTCCTTCTGAGGACATATTATGCCAGGCTTTCTCTGATGTACTGCTTGAAGTGAAAGATGTAGATACAGATGATGGTTCTGATCCAAACCTTTGTAGTGAATATGTGAAGGACATCTACAACTACTTGAAAGTTCTTGAGGTTGGTTTAAAGAGCTAACCAGGCCTGACATATGGCTGTGGAATTAAGACTGCAAGATATTTTATTACAAATGCTAGACTGCTGTTGGTAATTAGTTATCACATCTCTAGCACAATTTCTGAAGAATCACTAAACATCTAAACTCTGATATATTTTTTAATCTTGATTTACCTATAGTTTGAATAAACTACATGTAACTACAGGTAGGTGTCAAGCTATTAAGCTAATAATCACAATAAACTATATCAGAATACAAGATGGCAGCTTGTTCTAAAATTCAGGTGATTTAACTAGGGAAAGAAGCTAGGAATGTTCTTGTAATCTAGAGGGCTTCATATTGGGAAATATGTCTAATCCAACTAGACAATGACAACATGATTAGAGGAAGAAATATATAATTTAACTTGCTGCATATTTCTGCTGCTTGCAGGGTCAGCAATCAGTGAGAGCAAACTACTTGGCAGGTCAGGAAATTACTGGAAGTATGCGGGCCATCCTAATTGACTGGCTTGTGCAAGTTCAAATGAAATTCAAACTCTTGCAAGAGACCATGTACATGACTGTTGCCATAATAGATCGTTTTCTGCAGGTAAGGAAA